ATATAATATATATACATACACACATACACACATGTTCTACATATATAGATATATGTATACATGTATACAGATAGATAGACATAGATAGGTAGATAGATCGATTCAAATAGATCGACAACAAGTATCATGCATTCGACCTTTCTGAGAGCGGATACATACATGCATGTGTTTGTGCATATGTACATCATCCATAAAGCTGCGGCTCCTGAGTGCAGCGAGCTGGCTTGGCTTGCCAGGCCCCGGTCCCCGAGTTGCTCCATCACTTGCCGCCCAAACAAGAGAGCCTCGGAAAAGGAAAAGCAGCGCGTGAGGGCTCTTCCAGTTCAGCGAAGTCAAGCAGGACAGCTGAACCTACCAGACTACCTCGAGTGCCGAACTAGTGAACCTTCATGCAAGCCCCAGCCAGCCTTGATGCTGAAACTTTTTGCGATCTACCTTGTGCCAGAGCTCGCAGACGTCCTGCCATCCGACATGAGGAGTGATTGAACACTCTGAAAGATACCCGTCCCGATGGGGGATGCGAAGGCCGGACTCACACCAATTGCAGCGAATTCACTTGAAGCGGGACCTACCATTCCCAGAGTGCTGTCGAAATGGAGCCTGTATACAGTTCAAGGCGCAGGGATTCTATTTCTTGCGTTCGCCTGACAAAGACTGAGACAGAGTGAAGCTGGAGCGCTAGAGGAAGCAGTGACCCATAGGCCACAAGAAGTCTAACGATGTTTCGATTGTGGCAGCCTGTGCTCACAGCCTCAAATCATTGAGCGTCAGAGATCGTGCAGAAAACATGGCCCCAACCTCCTCTTTGCTCAGCACATCGAGAAGCCAGTCGGGAAGGGAAAAGCCAAAGGAGTGGCGTGGCATCACGAAGCCCATGCCCTGACAAGACTCTAAGAGTGCAGAAGGGTCTTGGACGCTCTAGACTCTATGTTAAAATCTATATCACGTTATATTATATGTTATTATCTATTTTGGCTCCCATCACAAAACAACTCTGCACACAGATGATTCTGTTATTCAGCATATCCTGGCCTCAAAGTGGCGCTGGACATGCTGCACCTCGCCAGCATAGGCCTTCGCTTGCTTGAGATAGGAAACAGAGACAACTACTGAGCGCTTGGTAACTGCACACAGCCAAAGAGGCTTCAGCAAGGGAAGGCTGAGGCTGCAGAGTAAGGGGTCGCAGCTTGGAGCCCTGGGTCGCTGCGCGGGCGCTATCTGCTCTCTCGGCTGTCTCGCCTCGCCACCATTGGACAGGAGCAGCCTTGGCATTCGAGTTCGGTGCCAATGCAGCGCAACCACAAGCTTCCGACTCTGAGAACGAACACACACACACACACACAGACAGAGACCGTTTGGAGCTTGATACAGCAGGTGATTGACGGCCCAGCCAAGCGGCAGATCGTCGAAGCAGGCGAAGGCAGGTGCAGACGGCGAGTGCACCGTGGCGATCAATGTGAAGCCATCGCTGGCTAGCCCTTTCCTGAAAGCAGGCCGGCAACCATGTTTTGTCTCAAAACAGAAGGCATCCCCCTGCATTATACCAGTGGAGTCGCACACTCGAGAAAGCTAAAATGCCACGAAGCCCGCCAGGGGGCAAGACCAAAACAAATGAGACACACTAATTACCAGCTCCACATGTACTTCTAACGGCTGCTAGTCTTGGGCTCGAGTGGCAGCACGGCACAGAGCTCCGCCGCCATCTTCGAGTCCAAGCCACCTTTGACAAGTCCAGAAGAAGCAAAGAGCTGTACGGGTGTACTCGGGTGTAGCAATTGTAGCTGTAGGTAGGGAGTGTATAGGGCCTTATGGCCTTAGCCGCTTAGCTGAAAGCAAGCCACTCGTGGGCTCGTCGAGCAGCAGCAGAGCCGGATGGGAAATCAGGGCCAAGCCCACCTGGCTTAGGCGCACTGGGCAATCTTTCGATCTTCTGACAACGGCAGACGTGGATCCGAGTCACATGCTGTATCTGTCTCCTGCAGCCGGGCGGCACTCACCCTCCTGGCCTGGCCACCAGAAATACCACGGTGTAGAGTGCTACCTGAGGCTCAGCATGTCGCCATAGAATACTTCACCGTGAGAGGTGAAGACAGCAGTCGAGTAACACAAGATCAACATGTACCAGGCTGGCAGCACACAGGGTGCCAATGCAGTTGGTGTGACTCTCTGGAAAAAAGCAGTGGCCTGAAGATGCGCTTTACTCAAGATAGCAGGGGAGGCGAGCTGCCAATCTTGGTCTTCCGGCAGGACTCGAGCTGCAGCTTGTCCTGAGTCGCTTAGCAGGACCAGCCGACTCCAAGCATCATTGAAGAGTGAGAGGATGTAGTGATGTCGCCGCGCATCTCTTGGTTTTTGGGGAAACGATGATGCAGCGGCTCAAGTTTCTGGACCCTTGACCCCTCTAATCAAATCCTCAATTCATGCAACTGAACACTGCCAACAGTCAGAGCACTATGTCCGAAAGCTGGACAGCTCCCCGCGTGATGAAGCATGCTGAAGCTGCATCCAGGTTCAATCAGCTTGTCCACGCGCTTTCGTTTGTCCTCGGCTCAAAAGACTCTCAGACAGTCACCACATCCGCCACCCTTGGGAACCGGACCTGGTAGCTCACAGAGGACGAGAGCTTCAGCTCCGTGGTGTACAGCAGCATCTGCTCGACCGTGAACTCTGGGAGCAACACGTTCGCCTCCGAGCTACAGGCGAGCTACGCTGCCACGGGGCTTGGGCCGGATCAAAACTTAGTAAAGGACTGGGCGAGGGAGACAGAATGTGCGTGACCTATAGTTCAGTACATCTTACGAGCGAAGCAAAGCATCACATTCGCACAGTTCTGTTCCGTGGAGATGCCGAATAGCTTGCAGCGGTCGGTTCTATGCATTTTGCCCGATGCCTCGCGTTTAGGGTATCCGGAATGACTCAGCCACCATAGTCAATGCCAGACAGGGTCCGGGTTGCAATCCATTTCAATCGCTCATGGAATGGGATGACGGCAGCGACAGAGCGCCTGCTCCATGTAGCCACAGAAGCGCTTCAGATTCCTCTTGGGGACCTGGGCTTTGGGCTGGGCATAGAGAGAAGAACCGCTCCTCAGTCTTATACTCTTCTCGAAGTGGGGAATTCCCACGAACTCCTTTTTGGGCCCAGCTGCCGCCTCGCCTGCATACAAGACCTCACCCTGGATCTCACCAGCTCGGCCCTTCCGCCCGGCCAAGATGTCCAACCTTTGAAGGGTGTAGGGGTGAGCCTAGGGCCTAGGGCTCATAGGGTTTTGTGTCAATGATGTCAGGATTAGGATCCGAGAGGGCAGCCTATCCGTGGCTCCAAAGACCCATGAATCGGAAGGGATGCTTGGGAACTCGACTCGCAGGGCACCGTCATGGTAGGTTTCAAGGCTCGTTGGCGAGTCATGATCCGCATCATCGAGCCCAACGCCTCACTATACCGACATCAAGTTGGTCGAGGCGCAGCGTGGTCTTTCCTGCACCGCTGGGGCCCATCAACGCTGCAAGGCGCCCTGGGTGGAAGGTGGCGCTCACATGCTTCAACACCTGCAGCCGTGGGGAAAGGTTGTCTGCGCTGCAGTTAAAACTCGAAAGCATCAGTTTGACTCCGTCCAACACACATGATGTAGCAATGTAGCAAAGTATTCGGAAAGGAAAAACAGAAACCCATATAAACCCATAACGTCCAGGAGAGCCAGATACAACCGGGATCCCGAGAGCAGCCAAACTGAGCATTCGGCCTCTTTCTGCTCCCCCTTGACCTGCAGAAAAGCTGTCAGATTGTCTTTTAAAAGCCTGCTCTCTTTAGAACCAAGGTACTACCGGTACTACCCAGCAAAGTGACAACCGCCACTCGCCGCATCCGCGACTTGCCGAAAGACACTGACTCGGCTGACTTTGCTTCTTGGATTCTAGAGTCAGCCGGAATTCCAGGCTCTGGGCCCGTCGTATGGAAACCAGGTCAAATATAGTGGGAGCAGAAGCACTTCAAGGACACAAGGTTTTGAAGGTCTAGGTCTCGCCTGCACGGTGTAAGAGAGGTCGCAGCAGCTCACCGACATCCCTGCTGCCAAGGTCCTTGCCCCATGGCGCAGCAAAGAGGAATCTTTGATGCTACTTGCAACGAACCTGTGCAGTTCGGGCTAGCACTGATCGCGCGATCTGACATACATCAACCATCTAGTTTGGGATGCAGTGGCAACCGTGAGCACCAGCGGGGCTGCTCAGTAGCGCGTAAATGATCAGGCAAGTGTTCGAAATGCTTGTATGGTTGGCAGCATTTCGCTTAAACATACAGGTAGCTAGTAGCTGTAAACTTGTGTCGAGTTGAGCTACACAGTGGAGACACGACGGATAATTTAGCCAGCAGCTTTGAACAACCTGTGTCAGAGCCCTGCTCCATAACGAGGATGAAGGTCGATCACACCTCCACATCCTACACCTACAAGTGCAATGCGAACATGGCGGTCTTTGATGTCAAGGACGAGGAAGTTGTGTCCAGCCTGGGCAGCTGAGTGGCAAGCAGGTCGCTTTCGACGCAATGGTCTTCACCGCTATCCCGGCGCTGATGGGTGTGATAATGAAGAGTCACAGCATGGACAAGCCTATCAATGCGGTGCATGGGTCTGTACGTTGACGTCGAAACCCCTTCGACGGCTAAACCCACGAGCCCGAAGCGATTCACTCCATGGACTCGCCTTGAAAAGACCGTGGTCGCTGACGGGGTGTTGCAGGGGCTGGCGCTGGGCTCTGGGACTCTTGGGCCAAAGTAGAGCCGACTGCACGCGAACAGGCCAACATGAAGGCCACATTGCTAAAAGGACCCTATAAATGAGGTGCCCCTGTATAGTCTGATAAGCCTGCACATCTGAACTGCCCAATCCCACGCAAGTCATGAGGCAGGACCCGAATGGGCTCAAGGATGCAAGTCTCTCGATCAGACTGCTGCTGCAAGGGTGTCTGAACCCTGTTGGGTCTCCTCGTGCTCAACAAGCCTGAAAAGCCGTGCTTGCTGCATGTGCTACATTTCGTGCTTGTGTGCCTCCGAAATTGCAGCTGTGCACTACTGCTATGCCTTCCAAGCAGCCCTATCATGTGTGAAGTTGAACAAGTAAGTCGATTTCAAGGGGACGGGTCACTGGTAAGCAGCGCATTACTACTTGAATGAAGCTGTCGAAATGTCGAGTTCTGAGCTTCTGGCTGAAGACCGAAGGTTCAAGGGCCCGGGCGAACTTATGCTAAAATCCTTTAGCATGGTGCTACAGGGAATCATCCCAGACACAACCCTGAGGCACCACAAACCAAACTGAGGACAAAAAGATGTAAGAGGAACAATCTGCTTGCCAATCCGAACATGTCTGCTCATGACATCTCCAACTTGTCGTTATGGGGGCTCCTCCGCTGCCGGAGCAGCAGCCACCTCCACTTGCTGCCTCGGCACCGCGATTTTGAATGGAAGTGCTTGTGTGAGTTCTCTCCGTGTCGATTCGCTGGCGATGTTTCGCGGCATCATCTAGAGTGAGAGCAGCTCGGAGACTGGCTGTCAGTTGATCTTCGTGCTGTGATGTTGGGCATTGAAGTCAGTGTGCCTAACCCATAGGGGTTGGGAGCCTCGTTTTGGATGAAAACGGGTTGAGTGATCAAACCGTTTAATCCGCTTAATAGGCGAGTAACAAATTCAAAAGAAGTTGCGTAGGCTGGCAGTCAGTCTTTCAAAATGCCCTGGAAAGTTCTTACCACCCCATGCCCAATCGAAGCTGTTACGCTTCCTAATGATGCAGACCAGCAGCTCGAACGCTTTGGCTCTATCGGCCACTCCATCCTGAACACGGTAATCATAGGGGTCTAACTTCGGCGGTTCGGATCCGCTCGAAATGAAATCTAAACGAGGCAGCTCTGAAATCTTCGTAGACAATTCAGAACTGCACGAATCCGCTGCTAAGACGTGGCAACTTGGGGTGCATGGCTTGCAGCACAACTCAACCATCGGAAGTCGCAATCACAGCTGCAAGCTAAGATGTGCCAATGAACTTGTCAGGGACTGTTGCCTACTTACAGCTGTTGCGCGCGTGCGCGCGTGTGTGTGTGTGTGCGCGCGTGTGGGTCTGCTTGCGCACGCGCGCATGCGGCGTGTGTGCGTGCGTGCGTGCGTGCGTGCGTGCCTGCGTGCGTGCGGGGACAAAGAGAAAGTACAGGCACTTGACTCCCGACAATCTTTTTCATTCGCCCGACTCTGTTGTAGACTCCTCCGACTCACTGTCGTACACAGCCGTGCCAAGAAGCCTCCCAAAGCTTTGGAATATGGCAGGAGAGATGATCACATGGAGTGTGGGATGGCCGGCTTAGATCCGGGGTAGTGCCAGCCTAAACCCACACGTGAGCAACACCAACCAATGGATGCGTTGAGCCGAGGGACAAGCATGCACAACAAAGCACACAAACGCAGAATTCCGCAATTCTGAGCATCTCATTCATCATTCGCTAGTTCTGAGCTACATGACGAGCCATCCCAATGCCCAACCATCCCCATCCTGTGCAGTGTAAATCTTCGACTGACAGGCGTCTGCACGGTGATCTAGAGGCAGATGTCACTCACGCAGTTGCATGCAGATCTACTGATTCTAGGTCTGACAAAAAGTTCAGACACTCTTATTTAGATTGCCCATGCTTTTTGCAGGCAAGTACACCGTGCGGTTGCTCAGTGTATAGGCATCCACCTTTTTCTATTCTTATATAACTCAGCTCAAGCCGCGGATTCGCCAGCCGCCGACGCTTGTTCGCAGCAGGTGTTGCTGCCGCGGTCTGTTTCACCAGTCTGCCAGGCATTCTCAGAAGATGACGAATGTGCAAGCAGATACTCAATGATGCAGTCCAGAAGTCTTAAATGAGTGTTCACCTACGACCCATGCCTTGGATGTAAGATTTGGGTTCAATGACGGTGCTCTATCACAGCGACGTGCGGAGACAGGGAAATTGCCAAGGCAGTTGCTTTAGTTAGTTAAATCTGAAGACAGGCCGCCCATTCTGCGAAATCCGACGACCCCCACCACAGACATCCGCTATAACACGTCGCATGCCCATGATTTGAACAGGCCGGCAAGCTTTGGAGATGTGCACTGAAACTGTGTGCCTGGTCAGCTCCTTTGGCTGCTCGGCGAAGGCCCATCGTCCAAGCGTCGCGACTCCGGCATCGCCTCTGCTAACAGCGCAATCAAGCCTTCTCCCTCTCTCTGTTTCTTCAACACCACGGTGTACTTCCAGAGAAGTCTGCCAGGGTTGGTTTTCGCCTCGTCAAGCTGTGCACCCATAGGATATTCACTGAATCGCCGACCAAGCATCTGTCCGAAGCTCGTCATCTTGATGTGTTGAGGTCTGGAACGCGCACACACACACACACATGCAGAGCATGTGCATGTATGCATGCGTATGCCTGTCTCTCTGTCTCTCTGTCTGTCTCCGTCTGTCTCTGTCTTTCTGCCTGACTGTCTGCCTGCCTGTCTGTCTATACATACGTATGTAGATATATATATATATATATATTTTTTTTTCTATATATATATATTTCTATATATATATATATGTATATGAATTAGTTAAATGTTATGTTGGCAAAAAATGGCAACTAAAACCGCCGGGGCCGCGGCTCAAACGCCAAAGTCTGGGCTCTTCGTGCAGGCTTTGGGCCTCGGGAGTCACACTTCCAGAGACTCGCGATGCGATCTGCAAAGAGAGGCTCCGACATTCAATTCAGGAATCTGCCGACTGACTAGGCCCCAGCACTATGATGTGCCCCTCTGGCTATCGAGCGCTTATGGCCTACTATGGCCTACTCGCACACACCGGAGGTTCCGGGAATGAACCTTTCGAAGGGTGGTTTCAAAGGCGAAAGGACGGCCTCCATACCAAGCCGAGCGTGTGGCTGATTTCTGGGTGCCCAGCAATGTACTTGCTGACAAAAGCGTCGCGATCCATGCCGGCAAACAGCCCCGCGCAGGAACCGCGGTACACTCCTTCGGAGCGTGAAAGAGGAAGCAAGTTGCGGAGGCTTTCCGGCACCGCCTGCTCCAATCTCAAGGCTTCGAGCTGCGGCTCCTTCCACTTGACTCATTGTTTCGACATCCGCGGCACCACCCGGCTTGGCCTCAACAGACGGGACGATTCCCTGAGAGGGCATCGGCTCTATGCATCGTGACCACCTGGACCCCAAAAGTATGTGAAGTAATAGCCTTTTATGGGTCCTGGGCCATTATTTTACCTACTTTTGGGGGTTTAGGCAACAGATGTGGCCGCAGCAGTGGTAGCAGTGGTCTTAACAGCATATGCGGAGACGAACTGGGCTCGCGGTCCGTGAAATGCTTTGCCATGCGCAATGCAACTCATGCTGACATGCACCTCTTTCGTGCAAATGCGGGCTGCGAGTGTATGGGCTGCTACGCCATTTCTCTCGAGTGAAGGGTCATGCACAGGCCATGCTGTTGCGCTCTGCAGACCGTGAGCTTTCCGCACCCTTAGGGTTGTTTAGTTTTTGGTCGCTTTGGGTCTTAGTGTGATTGTGCTCGCACCTCCTCCGAGTTCTCTGGGCAGGAGTGCTAGCGCTGCATGCGCTGACTGCACCCTGCAGTCTTTTGAGCAGGTCCCTTCCTGCATCTTTTCTCTTTGTGTCATATGTGCAGTGAACCCCTGTGCTCAGGTACGCGGCGCCACATCGTGAAAGACAAGAAGAATGGGGAAGATTTGCCTTGCTTACTGCGAATCTCAATGGTCAGCTGTCCATGATTCTAAGCAGAGGATTGATGCTGAACAGATCCCGGGACAATTCAGAACCAAGTCTCAAGCAGCACGCAGCCGTCTGTTGAAAGCTGCCTTTGCTGTCAGCAGCAAATCAGAAAACACCTCGTGGCCTTAGGCCGAAGGCCCTCCTTCACTAGGAACAAGATATCCCCCAAACCTTCGGCCATTCTGCATTTGAAGTGTGGCTTGATAAGCTATTGCAAGGCTCCGAAGACCCGACATCCCTTCTAGAAAAGACCAGGCCAAAAAACAACACAAAGATTGAGAAAACGAAGTGGCTGGGCCGAAGTTTGAAAACCTTCCTTCTCCGGCACTGCCACTCGACACTCTTGCATGCCTTTATGTCTTGGACCCCTCTAAAGCTAGAGTAGAACTAACAACTCTAAGCGGCTGGTCCCGAAAGACAGCGGACTTCGGCATCAGGGCGAGCTCCGCGCCGGCGCCTCAGCATGCAAGAGAGAGAGAGAGAGAGAGGGAGACGAAGTGTGAGACAAGCCAGGCGGCAACAGGAGGCGCTGGAAAGTTACTAATCAAAGCGGATCTGTCTATACCGGCATTGCCCGCTTGGGCACTCCGTGCTTCATCCTCCAGCAGCTCGACCTGGGCACTTCTGCGACAGGTCTCGACACAAGACGACACACCTGCATGTGAAGACGGGAGCCGGTCTCGGCAAGAAGTTGTTCCTCGTAGAAACATGCCTCATAAATTGGCACACGTATTGGAGGGATTAGTTGCTTTCAATAATACAAATCTCTTTGCTCTGTCATATGGCATCTACAGATTTTGCAAAGTCGGCATCCCGTATTCTGCTGTAGGACTCTGAATCTAGACCACGATAGCTCGGCATTCGCATCGTAGGCAAAGCCAGTCAAGTTCGAGTTGGGAATCAAACTAGGTTTATTCCGACGGGACAGCCGTGGACAGGCATGTTCAAAGAGAAGCACCGGTCAAAGACTGAGATGTCAACACCAGCAAAGCACCTAACATCCTGCAGTGTCCACATGAATACTCTGGGTACAGTTCCTGGTCCAGTGCAAGGTACTATAGAGGCCTCAATGATTAGAATACGGTTTTCGGGCATATAAACTATAGTTATAATAAGGAACCCCCCCCAAACAACAAAGAAATAATGTAGGTAATTGTTAAGGCTCCTATATTAAGCTTCCACCCCCCTCCCCCCGAATTGGCTGTTGAAAACTCCTTGTCTCTGTGTCCGCATGCAAAGGTCGACTTTCCCGAGCTTATGCGTCTGAAGTGGGATCCTTTGTCATTGTTCAACCTCATACCTGGGTTGTGACAGCCGTATCGGCCGTAACCACATCCTGGCCTCCTAGCCGGCGGACCGACCGTTTAGTCCCAACACTCCATCTCCACATCCGACATCGGCAGTCCAGTAGACCCCAACAGAAGCACGGCCTGAAGCCGCCAAGAACACGAAAACACCTCCGAGCTGCGTTGGTGTTGAAATCCCCAGCTGCCAGTAGAGGTCCGGCAAGCCAGCCTCGATACTCAAAGTCGCGTCTGTACACACCGCAGAGACTTCTTGATTTTGCCCTTTGTGCTGGCAAAACTAGGCTCCCTTGTGCACGAACTCCGAAGACCCGGCACAAAAGACCCCTGCAAGCCTCAATGTAGCCCTGTCCGAAAGGCAAGCAGCCCCCAAGACGGCGCAAGAAGGCCTTGGCAGCCTGGAGACTTTCGCCTCGGCCAATATTGCGCTTCCGGTCTGCCGAGATCTCCTTTGCCTAAACAGAAGTTCTGTCGTGAGGTCCAGTGGCCATACCTCGGCCCGCCCGGTGCATCCACGAAGGGCAGGTGGAAGCCTCCAGCGGGAATGCAAACAACAGCTAATGGGCGGATCAGTGTGCTTTTGCATGCAAGCTACAGTCAGAGCGGCAATGGTCTTGGAGCTCTAAAGAAGCAGAACCCTGACCGGCTGTGTGTGGCCCTCGGAAGCACCAAACAGAAAGCCAGTTTTCTGCTGCTATCATTTCATGGGTTCTTGCGTCCTCGTGGCTGACACCAGTGTTGTTCCGATCTGGGTGAGCTTACTTATGGTGCCTTCCGTAGCGTTGGAGCGTTCTTTCTCTGAGACCTCATTTCCGACCCTCACTCTCGCACAAGGCAGGCACGGCTCTGCACAATGGTCTCATTTTGGTGTCTACGATAAGCTTGCGAACAGCAGTGCTGTTCGGGTCGCACTGGATGCTTGGCTCTACGTTTCCAGCCCTACCTTGGCGCCTGGATCCCCGCGGCCTTGAAGGACCAAGTATAATATACTTATCATGCCCGTACCTATGCCGAGACGCTGAGCACACTCAGCCGCCAGTCAGCCCCGTTGAGCACCTGATTTTCAGAAGTAAGGTCAAGTAGGGAGTCAGTTATTGAATCCAATGGCAGACAAATCCAAAAATCCCGAGTACTCTCTCACTCAGCTGGCGGTCACCGCACGCAAGCCCTTTACAGTTGAATCCTCGAATGTCCTGCACGGACTGAGGGGGAATCTTGGAAGGCAAGCGAGGTGCTAAGCCCAGGCCAGGACAAGAGACGGAGACCTGGCAAAACAAGTCGCCACATGCGAAGATCGGTCATGAAACCCCTGGCGAACAAAGGAATTTTGTTGCTTACACTGTCGAGAGCTGTCAGCATCCGACTACCTATGGTTGACTGTGCAGTACAACTGCTTCGTCTACATCCCAAAGGCCTCTTGTGGCGGATCCGTCCAGATGTCACCAGCCCATGCCTGAAAGTGGCAAGGATTTGCTATGCGTTGTAAGCTGACGTAAACCTCACGTGGGTCTTGGTTTCCTCGTCGTCGTGCAGCTTGGTGGCTGATGCTGAGTGTGCTGCTTATCTTCTGGCCATCGGTTTCGATGATGAAACCTGACATTACCTAGACATCCTGCATCCAATTACATATGTGGCATGGCTTATAGCTGCATACCCTCAATCTGGTCTCATGCCCTTGTCCGCCCTGTATCCGGAAACAAGCTGCAGACCAGCAGCCACCGCATTGCAATAGCTTGCCAGCTCGACGGCCCCACCCTGAAGAGATGGGCTCGGAGCCGCAAGTCCCAGCGGGATCACTTCTGGTTCTCTTTGATTGAGGAGACCAAGCAGGAGCGCTTGATTCAGTTCATAAACGCTAGGCTAGCTGCTTGACTGATTGTGAAGATTACAGTGGTTATGTCCAGCGGGGTGGTTTGGAAGGTGGCTTTGCAATGGCTGATTCTACGATGCAGAGGGCGTGGGATATTAAGTGGGGTGCGCTTGACCTGGGATATCATGCTGAACCATGGGGCCAGATGTTTTTCATGTTGCAGAGAAGGACAGGAGTGCATGTAAGGATTGCAGAGGCGAGAAGAGTAGTGGGCTGGCATGAGACCATCCTTCAATGTCCTTCGACATGTCCTGCTAGGCAAGCAACTTTAAGACTTTAAGGGCTCACTCACCAATCACAGCTTGACCTGACCCAACCTCAAAGCCTGCGTGGCTGGTGTCCTTGGTTTTGCCAGAGCCCACTGCAAGCTGCACTGAAGCTCTGGTTTGGCGAAGCACCGCCAGGAATTCCTGCTTCGCGATGGATGTCTCGGGTGTAGGAGGGAGTCTGGCGGCTAGCCTCTTGGGTGCAACAGTGCTCCATGCAACATGACACACCGTTGCACTTGGAGCCATCCGTCCTGCTGGAGCTGTGGGTGCGCTGGAAATTCCTGGAAACCTCGCTGCATCGGGCCGAGACCCCAGGGTTCGCAGCCCTAAATAACCTCTTTTTTTGCATCAGGACTTGTGTAATGGCCTGAAGGTCTGAGCATACGGAGGAGGTTCAGCTCTCCCTGAATAGCCCTAGCCACCATAACATTACCCTGCCACTGCATTTGCCATGATGCTGGCGACCCAAGCGCTGGGAGCAGAAGCTAGCCACCTTGAAGAAGGCTTTGTTTCGGAGTTCAGTGCCAGGCACGATTCTTGCCTCCAGCTTAGGAGGGATGAGCCCATTCAGCACGATAGGTTCAGGCAGGATGCGCTTAGGCCTAGAAAGGTTGGTGGATATGGTGCCAGGTCGCTTTGCCACAGCGGGCGCCACCCGATCGCGCAAGCGCAGCGCATACGCCTCCGGAGTTTCGTCGCCTGAGTCTGCATTCGAAGCAGTTTACAGTGGGTCCAGGCTCGAACAGACCAAGTGACATAGCACTAGCACAGGAGCGCAAGAAACCACAAAGGTCACTGACTTTTCCGACAACGCAAAACGAGGAGCAAACTCTGCCACTTAACTGGGCCATCCAAACGGAAGCGCACTAGTGACTAGTGGATGACTTTTAGAGGCCTAGCCTGGACCATGCTTGCTCTCTGACACTTGAAAGAGAGTGGCCTCGCTGCTCCTTGACTTTCCAGCCTAGACACAGTCCAGGCCGTTGTTGGTCAGCGCACGGCCTTCGAGCGCCGTCCCCTGGCGGCCCACCTGCCCCGAGCGGCCTCAGGAAAGCTCACGTCGATTTTGCGGGGATTTGCGGAGCCTCACCGATCTTGCGAGCGCTGCGGGTCTAGCGTAGCGATCCTTTTTCCAAGACGGTGCCGGTTGTCGTGCCGCAACACGGAGCTTGACTTTGAAGCTCGAAGTTCTGACGGAACTGCCACGCCACCAAATCAACATGAGACTTACACCAAATAGACACAAGTAACGGGTATCAGCTTCACAGCTGAGAATCAGTGATACAGACCAAAGGCTAGGCTCGGAGATGCAAGACGTTCAAGCCTGTGCACCTCGATTGCACTTCTGCGAAAGTGGCTGCAGTCCATGGCCGTCTCAAGCCTTAAGGCTGCACACACTGCACACTATGTGCAACTGCTCACCGAACATGTCGCGAAGTCGGCTGGAAAATGCTGGCTGGCAGTCGCTGGGCTAGTCGAATCCCGGGGCTGCGCATGCCAGCTAAGTTAAAAACAGGTCTGAACAGCCTCGGCTTAACCGAAACCTTCGTCCGGACAAAGATCGTTTTCATCCAGCTGACGCGGGCTTGCAGGTCGAAAGCCACGTCGTACTATGAGCTGTCTTGTCCACTCCACGAAAAGCCGGGACTCTGAAAAGGCTCGGGGTTGGCTTGAAAAATGGGAAACAGGGGTTCTGTGTCGTTACCCGTCCTTCGAACCCGTCGTGGTGCTTTCTTGAACGCAGCCGAGAGCCAAGCAAAGTGATGTGGTGGAATGAACAACAAGCACGAATCCTAACCACTGATTTCTAGCTGGTGGGCGTTAGTGCATATTTATGAACGAAAACACAAGCCAAACGGGCAAATCAACACAAGAATGGACACAAGAGAACACACACACACACACGGACAGAGAAACAAAAACAAACATATACGTAAATAAGTAGATAGATAGATAGATAGATAGATACATACATACATACATATACATATATATATATATGCTCCCCCCCTCCCCCAAGATCCCTCAGCCGAGTGCACCAGCATGGGAAGTGCAGATCGACGTACGTCCAAACGCCTAACCCAAATGTATCGGACCGTCCAACGCTTTAGAGCACTGGAGCTTCAAAAGTGCTGTGCTGTCTCTAAAACAACCTATTCTCCAGTCCTGAACGTTGCTGGAGGATAGGTTTATTAGGTTCTTAAATACAGTACAGCACTTTCGGCCTGGGGAAGCCAAATTTCAGGGACAGCACAGCACTTTGGAGCACTGGAGGGAAAAGTGGTGCAGTGTCCCTAAATTTTGCTTCTGCCAACCCTAAATGAAAGGGACAGCCCAACATTTTAGAGCACTGGAGCTTCAAAAGTCCTGTACTGTCGCTAAATCTCGGCCCTGCCAATCCAACATTTCTAGTGACAGTATAATACTGTAGGACTCTAGGACTCTAGGACTTAAAAAGTGTGTTTGCGGCACTGTTGTTTATCAGACATTCCGTTCCCAACAATACAAGTATTGTCGCTTCTGTTCGTTCCTAATTGCTTCTGCGCATAATTGCTTTTCACATCCTGGTGTGCAAAACGTTCGATGCAAAGAGTTTGTAAGCATGCGATGAGCAAAGAAGCTGTTCAAACAGAGAAGCCGTTTGCTTATGCACATGGAGGAGGTAGGTTCGAAACGTCTGGTTATGTGTGAGAGAATGGAACAGAGACGGTGTGGATCTGGGGGGGGGGGGCTGATTGGGGGCTGATTATCCATATATACATATCTATCTATCTATATGTGTATATATATGTATATATATATGTATATATATATATTCTCACATACATATACACACGCACGCATACCACAACCGCACACCGCAATAATTTAGCTCCAGCCCATAACAAAGAGCCCTAGAAGTACCCAGGACAGCTACATTTTCCATTTCAGCTTTTGACCTGCAATGTCCTAGCCTGCCGGCCGTGCTGTGCAGCTTGGATTCTCCTGGCTGCAAGCACCAGAGCTTGCGCCGCGAGACTCTCGTTGCTGAAGGACCGATACTCCTCCTCGGCTAGGGCGGCGAACTCGGCAGCCCAGGCATCTCCACGCAAAACAGCTTCACAAATAGCCCAGAAGGTCGGGAGCCGCATTGGCTCGCCAGCTTCACTCTGCTCCAGAAAGCCAGCCCACAGCTTCTCCGCCTGAACTTCGGACACCTTCGCACCGCACGATCTGCAAAGGGCCTGGAGAAAGCCTGGCTTCTGCAAACCGCCTTTGCTTGCCGCTCGTTCGAATTCCCGGGCCCATTCCTTGCGCTGACCTTCTGCGAGTCTGCTGACATCTGGCCTGCATCCTTGCAAGCATCCGTTCCTTCGAAGGGCACGCTGGAGTGTAATGGCGTTTTTCTGCAGCAGGTCCTTCTGCTGTCTCACCTGCCTCCCTCGAACGATGGCCTGAATCTTCGTGGAAGCCTCAAACTGTCGTGTCGCATCCTCAACTAGCTTCTTTGAAGCTGGGCTGGGAGCGATTCTATCATC